CAGTACCATAATGCAGGAAATATAATTTAACTGGCTACTCAAGAATTAATCCTTCTTATTTTATGATTTCAATCAAGAGGGGGGAATGCTACTTCTGATAGGCTCACTTCATGTACCAATATATTTTCCCAGACAATGTTTTATTATTAAAAAAAACATTATGGTAAAAATATATATAATTTAAGAGAGATAAATCATCTACAACTATTAACTCAACAAATATTAATTAAGAAATCCCTAAATGTAATTTATTCTCTAATATTTTCCCATTCTTAACATATATCAGTCATAGGTGTTTATAATCGTTATAGAAACACTTAGAAGAGAGACATGCTCTGAAATTTTAGAAATAAACTACTTAAGTGAACACAGTGTAAAAACTAAAGTACATTATTCTATTATATTTAGGTCTTTCTCATTTGAAATCAAAACCTAAAAAGCCCTCACATCTTTGTTTCTGGCTGCCATTTTTAATACAGTTAACAAAGTTGCACAGCATATATATATATATATTTTAATATAGTAAATGAATAAAAATGGCACCATTACCAAGTCAGGTACATGTAATAGATTTATGTGTGGGGAGTTTTTATATTATTCAGCTATTAATTCATACTCAAGTTATTTCTCAAATTTAAAAAAGTTCATTTTTATATCAAATATGGAATTAATCTCCCAAATTTCTCTGGGTCTAAAGGGAAAAATTTGTCCACTTTTGCGATTTCATTTTTTGTGTAAAATTAATTTCTTAGGGTGTTTGGGACTTATAATAAACATTATGTTATTATAAATGCCAATGCTCCGATGTAGGGTCAATGTTTTCAAATCACACAGAGGGAAAACGGTAATATACTTAAAACATTTTTTCAGTTTATTAGTAGAGATCAGCTTACAGGGTGCCAACTTAATGGTTTCCATTGAAAGTTACTATAAATAAAGATTAAAATTTTAAATATTCGGTGCTGGGTTTTTAACACAAATTAAAGTTTTAGCAGTATCATGCCTTGCATTTAATGCTTTTCCTTTTCAAATGAACTATAAAATAAAAATATTTACAAAGATTTCAAATCCATATCTATTTTTATTTGCTTTATTCTTTCCATTCATTGCTAACTTTCGACAATAAAGCACCTTAGTCCTAAAGGGACTGCTGTTCTTGACTTTTGAGTGTAATCATTTGAGACACTCATGGAGGTCAATGGTACTTAGAATTTTTTATGTCAGGTCACCATTTTAAAATGTTCACACCTAAAATTAACCTACCACTCCAAGAAAAATACTTAAATGACATTTTTTTATTCCGTAGATTTGAGACACTTAATTCGTTTAATATTCTTCTATAATTATCAAGATCCAATAAACTATTTTTAATTCTAGAACAAATGCTAAAAAGCCATAGCCCAGTAACATAAAGATAATAATAAAGTAATTATTCTTCCTTTCAGAAAACATGATTGAAATATCTAGAAAAAATTACAATATAATGCCAGAGTCAGAGTGGGTAAGACACTGCTCTATATTTAAGTTCCAGCTAATTCAGGTAATACTGACTTGTCATTCTGCATAGTCAAGCAAATAGATATAATTTGACAACAAATATTTTATTATAATTATTATAACTATAACTATTTATAATTTTATAAGAATCTAATATTATTCAAAACCTTATAAAATCCACACCCCAAACCACTCCCTTCTTTTTAAATATAATTTTTATTTTTTAATAAAATATGTACTTATTCAACTAATTTGAATATGAAATATTTACATATGTATACTGTATATTGCCTGCATAAAATCTAAAGTTAGACTGACTGATCTGTTTTCATTATTTTAACTAAAAGTGGACAGTTTATACCTATTACCACATTGCTTGGAGAACAATCAAATGTAATTGAAGCCAAGTAATTCACACTATTTATAGACATTTTTTCAGAATCACCTGCTTTGTATAGATTGTTTTAAGTGAGGTTGTAAAGTTTTGATTTTTAAGAGTTCCTTTGAAGACATCGCAGATGCTGGCTTTGCTAATAATGCTGGAAAGCATAGCAGGTTCAAAGTTGCAAAAATGTTTAACACATATAAAAAATAACAGTGTGCTTCTCCATTAAACTTGGCTATTTTCAATTGTCAGTAAACTATAATGAAAGCCCAAAGTCCACAAATATTTGTTTCTAGACCCTTAAGCTTCTTGATTTTGCATATGTGTGTGTTTGGGAGGGGGAATGCACAGAAATGTACACTGGACAATGTTACCTGTTATAGTTTTAGCATCATTACCACGGATAAAAATTTGGGTCACTTTTCAATATTTTATGTTGCTTAAAATTCTATTCGAATCCCACAGGGTCATGCAAACATATACATACACGTACAATCTGAGTATTACATGCAACGATACAGAATTTTGGTTCTGACTTTGCCCTAGATTTATATGCCACGATTACTTTCAATTATTAACATACAGTAATTATAAACTTTCTAACAAGGTCTCTACTATGCATGATATGACTTTCATCTCATACAATTTTAAAATTTCAAGAGTTCAGAAATTAATCTCATTTTTTAAAAAATACTGAAATACTGAAACTGTGCTATAAGCAATATGAGATATATGTGTTAATAATATGCCAAAATTATAGTGGTTTTCTGAATTGCTTTAGTTTCCATTGGATCAGGATGCCCTTATAATACTGTGACATGAAGTAACTATAAACATTAATGTGGAAGACCAACTGAAATATCACAGGAGAAACATATCTTGAATCTAAATCTATCTAAAGATCTAACAAATATTAACACAAATAGTGAAATTCCCAAACTAAATTTCATTTTTAATGAGTATACATATATTTAACTGAGAACCATCACAATATCTCCTTTTAGTTAGTCGAAAAGTTCTTTCAAAATATCCCACCATGAATAGAAAACGTTCGTTCTAACTCCGGAGTGATTCTACCCTTGGTGATGACTAATTGTATTTCCCACTCAAGATCTAATCTATTAATACTTTTATGTAGCTGATGCAAAGTTTTGTGCTTGTTTTTCTGGGACCCTAGTTTCAACATATAAATATAAACTTATTTTGTTATATTGTTATTTCCCACCAGATGAAGGTAGCACTATTAGTATAACTGGTTTTCTTAAGAGATTTGTTATTAAAATAATTTAAGGGAGCCAGTTCTTGAATACCACTTTCTCTATTTCCCTCTGACCGATAGAATATTTGCCTATATGAAAATTCAGTTTACAGTAAGAAGCTTAGGTGCATTGATTCAGTTCCGGAGACATAAGGAACAGCCCATCATAGGTTTTTCACTGCAAAAGTTAAATGAACAGTAAGAGATTCTGTGAAATGCAAAAATCGACTGACCAACCTGAATTGGGATCTGCTCCAAAAAAGTTACATTGATATCAAATGCTGAGCCCAAGAAATGAACACTGTATTTTAAAGTTGACTTTTTTAAAAATGAAGATGGAAACCTTCTTGCTATGGTTAACCTCTAAACTGTCTTAAGAGAGTCACTTATACTTAGTAAAAACCATTACAAATGAATGATACTGCTGGTAAGTTTCTTAGATATAAGCTAATTTGTGATGGAGCATTAAAAGTTCACCCCTGACCTTGAAAAGTAAAAGTTGGATTTTAAGTTTGTGATAGAAGAATGTATCTCATTCTAACGCTGAAGAGCAACAGATACCACTGCTGCAAAAGAACACGAAGTATGCGGCTCAAACATCGCCATTTACGATGGCCATTTACGATGGCCTTACCTAAAGCATCATAACAAAACAAACATTCTCCAATCTTTCACATTAAGATCTGAAATTACCTTCTAGGACTTGTTAACCAATCCCTCAAAGGAAGAAAACGACGTAAATATTATATGGAACAAGTGACACTTTCCAGAAGATGGAACGCAGGTTGTGCGATGGCTACAGAAGAAAATTCGTTAACTCTCTTAATTGTAAAGTATCTTTTAACAATTTCATAATGATGCAGATTGTGAAGGGCTTTAAGGAGTTGCCTGAAAAGCTTCAGTTTCCCGGGAATGCTACAGCTTACTTGGCAGTCTATGCCTTCAAACGTCTGCGTTTAGTAAAGTTCCCTTGTGCGGGCTACTCAAGTGATCCCCACGTAGTTCAGCGCCTACTGCGCGCACCCTCGCATACCAGGCTCAAACACTTAGAGAATCAACACTGCCCCGGTTGCTGTTTGTTTCCAAGCACTTGCCTCCCATAATACTCAGCTGGAGAGTATTTTACTTTCCACATTTGCAACTCAGATTTTCTATTTAGATTAGCACCACACGAACACAACTACTATTAAAAAATCGTTTTTCCGCAAGAGTCTGATCATGTATTTATTTACCAATCTCTGACACATTCCTTAAAATCCTCTGAATTCCTAGATTGTCTTCTTCCCCAAGAAAGGGAAATTTTTACCATTTGGAATAGGGTGCTATTTAAAGAACTCTGAAATCAGAATTTAAAAAAAAAACCTAAAACTTTTTTTTTCTCATACGTTCTGCCAAGTTCCACTGCAAGTTCCAAATATTGTGCAATAATTTGGAAATCCAGTTAACGATGGGAAAAATCGAGCCACTCGGAGTCGGGAACTTGCAAGCGAAAAGTCAAGGAGCAGCAGCCGCACGCACGCCCGGCGGACGCTGCATCCCAGGGCGCGCTCCCCTCCCCACCGCTCAGATGGAAGGTCACGCTACGCAATCGATTTCACATACTGTCACTTGTCCTTTTTTCTTAACCCTCTGGTAAACTAGTTGGAACCTTGGAGAGATTAACACTGTTGGCTGCAGTGTTGCCCTTGGAGAAACACGTGCCCCCAAATAACAGGACCAAAGCAGCCCCACCGAATCCGGCGGCGGGGAGCCAGAGAGGGCACGACGTATACCGTATTCCCTGCAGCCTCACAGTAGTGCGAGAATCTTCCCAGCCATCTCCCCGCCCCTTTTCGCCGACAGTGCCCGGTGCGCTCTTACCTGAGCTATCGCTTTTCCTTTTGCCGCCACTTCTCTTCTCCGCCTCCGCGGGTGACAGCGCCTGGCGGCCGTAGTCCCCTGGCGCGCACGCGGCCCCGGTTGGGGTGCTGGAGCCCAGACTGGAAGAATTGGAACACAGGACCGGCGGGCTGCTCCCCAGCTCCGGGGGCCCTCCCGAATCCGGCTGGAGGCAGAGGCTGTGACGAGCCGCACTCGGGGGGGAGGACATCTGCGGGAGGTGCCAGTTGGTTTGCAGAGCTTGGTGCTGCTGCTGCTGCTGGTGGTGGTGGTGGTGATGGTGGTGGTGATGGTGGTGCCCCCTGTGATGCTGGCTGGCAAACATGCCCTCCTCGTTGGGGTATCCCGCGATTATGCAAGACGAGGAAGAAGTGGAGAGCTCGGGGTAGGACATATGGTCAGATCTTCCATGGAGGGCGAGAGAGGACTGTGAAAACGGGTGCAAGCCTTGCGCCGTGGCGTGAGGGCTGCGCAGGCAGCCAAAGAGCGGGTGTTCCATAGCATGCAAGTCTCAGGTTCCAGGCAGACGACTTCACGATGCTTCCAAACGCTACCACCCTCTGTCACTTTTCACTGGAAATCGTGTTTCCCCCCTCCCAAATAAATAACCGCCGTTTCTGCAAAGCTCAGATAATCCCGGTCCCGAGCCCTAGCGGCCAGTCTCCTTCACATATAAACACTCGGACCTGGAGAAGCTTCCCTTCGAGCTACTCAGATGTCAAGAGTAGGAGAGGTTGAAGCCAAAAGAAGGTGGTCCCAGAGAACTGCTTTCAGGGGGAAACGGCTCGGAGAGGTTATAAATAGAGTGTAATGTGAGCTGGGGGCTGGCTTAGGAGCCCGGCGCTGACCACATGCAAACTCCCTCCAAAACTCCCGCTCAGTCTGCGCCATGCGCTCCCAGTTCCACTTCCTATCTCCGGCTGGACGCACTGCGTGCGTCCACGCCCGCCCGTCCTTGCCAGCCGCCGAGGCTGCAAGCGGCGCGCCTGGCGCCTAAACCCGAGCCGGGCCGTACAGCTCTTCTCCCTTCCCGGCGGCCGAGGTGCTCCGCGGCGCACGCCACCCCAAACTCCGCACTCAGTGTCCGGCCCACTCCCTTCCCTTAAGAAAGGTGTCTTGTCAGTGCCACTTGAGCACTGGCACCTGCAGGATAGCTAGCGGTAACGGCTAGCTCTTGAAGAGCACGAAAGGGAAGTAGGAAGGAGCAAAAACATCAGAGCTATTTTGGCGCGCGCTCAGAAGGTTTTCAAACTCTACATCAACGCGTGTCCTGGGCGCAGCGGCGCGCCTTGCTTTTCGCAGTTGACTCTGGGTGGGTTGTTAATGGGCTCGCTTCTGGCGCCCGAGGTTTCTGGGAAGTGCCTCACGGCAGAAAAGGGCTATTCCCAGCGCTGAAAAGAGAGAAACCTGGTGGCGTAGGTGAAAACCGAGGGGCGGCGAGAGTTGCAGATATCCAGAAACGCGGGCATCCTCACCTGCGGTGCCAGAGGGGGTCTTTCTTCCTTGGCTTTCTGAGTATGCCCTCCTTGCTTTGCACAAGGTCCTTTCCCCAGCTTTCCTGGTCCCTGTCAATTTCCTAGCCATTTGGCTCCCCCAAAACTTTTCGGTCAGGAAAACCCGAAGTGATATCGTCCTGGTCACATGTGATGTGTATATTGCACGCACATTTCCAGTCTTTCCTCTTAGAAGCCAGCCCGTGTCTCCTCACGTCCCTCCAGAAATTCGCCCTCTCTTCCGCTCAAAAATAAATCAGCTAATGGCACAGCTTCGAGCCCCTGCAAGCTGCCATGGTTCCATTTGTTAGTAAATTTTACACTTTGATGTTCCCAAAAGCTCACTAAACCTGGGTGCGGCTTCAGGTCTCCCTGGTTACAATCTTGCATCACACAAATCGAGATAGAAAACTTGCCGCTAGTTAATTAGTATGAGCTACGGCTGGGCTTTGGTACTGCCACTTGCTTCAGGGGTGACACTGTCTGCTGAGGGCAGAGTCGTTTACACAAGGCAAGCAAGCCGCACGTAATGAGCTACAGAAACAGTCTAGTCTTGCCTGGGACGTATGGCATCAGAAGATCCGCGCTCACCTATACTGCCCGGGACCCCCAGCATGCCACCAGCAGTGTAACCCCGTTATTTGCATTGTCTCAGGTGTCCAGAGGATGGCTACTAGGTCTTTGAAGTTGTTAATGGGATTAATGAGGACAGCAAACCGGGCCAGCCATCTGGTTTGAATCAGGAAAAAGTATTGATGAATCTTTGAGAAGTGTCCCCAAAGCAGAACCCTTCCCTCCACCAGGCCCTCAGGTTTCAGCCTACCTCTCTTGTCTTTCAAGCCCTGCTGCAGAATAGTGTGGCCTCTCAATAAACCTTTACATCCGTGTGAAAGTTCGAATTGTTTTCCATTGCTTAGAGGTGGGATGGGGTGGGGGTGATCAGGAATTCTGAGATTTGTAAGCGCTGCTTTCTTTAACGGAAATTGAGCCCTATTTTGAGGGAAATTAGTTTTGCAGACTTCGTTAGAAAAAAAAAAAAAAAGCTAAAACTTTTGTTCACCAGCTGCTCAGCTTTTCAGTCTGGGTCTGAGCTGGAACCTGCTGCGAGCGTTTGACGGTAAGACTTTCTTTGCCGATATGTTTTGGGAATCTAATATTGTTTTAGACTTCGAAATGGGGTGTTCTTCAGGTTGCACGTTTCTAAGGGTTTTAAGCACTCCCAGGATGGCGTCCAGGGCTTAGATCTTAAGAATGTTTCTTCCTGCCACTCCCCACGCCCTTGGCTCTTTAAGGATAAAAAAAAAAGGAGGGGGTATATTCTTCTAATATGGTCGGAATATTTTTTGAATTTTCATTGTGTTTATGGTTTCAATATGTGCTCTGATATTAAAAGTTGAAGTACAAAGAACAACACTAAACTTCCCAAACTTGAGTAGCTCCTCTGTAGGGATTATGGGTGAATGCATTAAAGGCTTTATCCTAGGAGAAATTTAGGCAACCATCTCCATAAACAGTAACCAGAAATATTTACATAATATAATAGTGTCTACTAAAAGCATTATGGAAAATGTCAGACAACGCTAACTAAAGATACACTGGATCTACACAGATCAACAAAAATACATCCATAAAGGTCCCCTTTTGGTTTGCATTACAGGGGTTTGGAGGGAGCAAAGCAACTGAGAAATGAATGGGCTTGAATTTAACCAGTGTGGTTCAGGTAACTAGTAAGTAGCAAACACAAACTCTTCATCTCCAGGAGCTGCCAGTTCTCCTTAAAACTGCCCAGTGATTGTGCTGGCTTTGTCTCACTGTGTCAGATGTTAACAACATGTCCAGAAATTTCTCTACAACCTGCCTCAGTCAGTCAGCCTCTGGAACTATGGGGCTAGAAGGTTGGGAAAGAACAGTTAGAAAAGATTAGAAAAAGAAATCTCCTTGAAAGTGCACAATTAGAACAAAGCTAACAGGAAAGGTCTTTTTAATTGAAGACCCAAAACACACAATATTAGTAAAAATGATGAAGTCTAGATTTCTAATAGAAAACATAATATAAACGTGGTTCAAAGAAGAAGGTCTTGATGCAGTCCAACATTAAATACCACTTTTTGAATGTTCTCTGAATTTCCAAATATATATTAATTATTCCATAAAGCTTTTTTCCCCCAAAATTTTCACTTACTGGAATGTTTGGAATAAGAAAAAAATATTGATTTTTATTTTCTAAGCCATAGAAAAAACTTGTAATGTCTTAACAACAGGAAAAATTCCTACCATTTCCTATAACAGCTACTTCAGTGTCCACATCTATATCCCAAAATTGAAAGATGCCTTTTTATATATTATGAAGAACGGTAAAAAACTTAAAAATATAGAATTTTTATAGCCTTCACTTTAAACTATAAATAGTCAAGTGTTTATCCTATATTTATAGTATATTTGAATTTCCCTGAAAAATATTCTATTAATACCAATATTTCATGCAAAGCTTTAATATCAAGCAGTGCACTGTAGCAAGAACTTGAATACAGGAATAATGTAAGCTGCCAGTCTTTTCCAGAAAATGTAATCAAAACTATTTAAGCATGTGCTAGGCTCTTTAAATTTGACAAATATGTACATCTATTATTCATTTTGCTTAATAAAACAATATTCTATAGTAAAGGCAAAGATTTTTTTTAATTAAGATTATTTTATTTCAAAGAGACTAGAACTTAAGCAATCTGAAAAGGTTGTTTAAATTTAAGAATCATGATGCTTCTTTTAAGAGTTGCCATTCTTCTATATATTTGTGTCATAAGATATGATGGGAAAAATATTTAAAATTAAGCATAATCTTTAGCTAAAGATATTATAAACTCTGTCTTACATTTTATCTGCCAGACAATTTACTTCAGTAGCATAGAGCCATGATGTATGAATTTAAGTATGGAAAATTAAATCAGATTGGAATTTGTCTCTGAACTTGTACATAAAAATATTTTTTCTGCTATATTTCTCCAAGAAAGAACAGTCCTGTCCTTCAGTTGGTTCTTCTGAAATAAAAAATTTTGAGAATATATTATAATATGCTAAATGCTCAATGGTAATTTATGCGATTTATAATGCACTCCATGTTTAAAAACTAAGGAACTGCCCTTCTCCAGGAAATATGCATTGTAGCATATCAGGAACAATTTTGCTATGGCTAATGCATGTTATTAGATGATTCTATATACCTTTACTGATTTTTAAAGTAAGTTGCTATTTTTTACATAACACTAGTTGGGGCTTTCACAATAAAATTTGTTGTTTCTATATTACTAAATGAATACTTAAATATAACCTCAAAAAAGTGTAAAATAATACCCAATATACTTTGTTTTCCTAATTTCTGTGTTCTTCCCACATTTAGTTTTATTTCTTTCACAAATTGGTGGTTTTCTTCATTTCAAATATCATGTAGTAAATATGTTCAGAAAACTAGCATGAAATATAGATCATGACTGATAATTTTAAATTTATAAGATTTCATTACAAATTAAAAATACTTGCAATTTTTCATTATTCCAATTTCTTTCCACATATATTTTATGAAATTCTAATTATCCTTTGGTGTGTATGTGAGAAGTGTTAAAATGAAGAGACACTACCTCTCAAATTTCAAAAACTTCTAAATGAACTTACTTTTGTCCACCTGTTTTAAATCCAGAATTATTCAGCAGTTTTCTTATAATGCACATGGGAAATAATTACATTCAGTTCCTACAGTGTCATTTGCATTTGCCTTGTATGTTATTTTTGTTGATAAATGTATGCATCTCAAATTGCCTCCCTCATATACCTAAGTATAGGCACACTAATGCAAGACAGTTCCATAATGAAATGCTATATATTACATTATATATTCTATACCACCAAACTCATAAGCATTAAATTTCTATCCACAATTTAAGGGAAATAAACCATTTATTTTTCCCATGTCATAAAAAGCAATGCTATACTTTTAAGTGGAATGAATTTAGAACAAGTTCATAAATCTCGGAGAAAAAAAATCATTCGAAACTAAACGGAGGAATTATAGGTAAAGCTTTAGTCTTCTGTTTTAAATTTTCCAACCTGAAGAGTTTAACATGACTAATGTAATTTTGGCACAATGGTAGGTTATTCTTATGTGTTTTTGTTTTTCATGCTTCATCAATTTGTAGCATGTTTTATTCTTAACGTGGTTCTTTCATTTTGAGCTTGGGTTTATGATTTGAATCACTAAAA